GAAATCTTATACGTATGAGAAGAGTAAAGGAGAGACCTGGTCTCACAGTAAGGAATCCAGGTACACAATCACTTGAGGAGATGAATCATTTTTGCCAGTCTCAAGCACGGAAGAGCCCAAACGTCAACGGCCACATAGCATATTTGTACAGCGCAGTTGTAGTGTAGTAGGAGGGAAAGGAGAGCAGAAGGGGCCGACGAATATAATTTGCTCTAGACACAACTCAAAGTGTAACATTGAATCTATCCTCTGTTTCTTACTTATCTGTGTTTTTACACAATAATCAGCTATATTACATTCTTATTTCCCTTAGGCGTTTTGAGGGGAAGTTCTCCCACTACTTTTTTTGCTTGTGTTGCTGCTGATTGACTTTTTAGCAAACCTCAGCTGTTGAGCTATCGTTTTAAAGATCAAGTGGAGGGAACAATTTCTTCCACTAAAACCGCCCAAATGTTGTGAACGAAGTATAGTAACTTATTATACTTTAAAGTTACTACTTTTCTGCAAAGGGAAAGGAGCAAAAACAGTGCTCAGTAAAATATATAAGGTACAGATCAAATGAACAAGGCAAGTCACATTCAAAACTTGATTAAATCATTCAATCATTTGTATTAAGACAAAATGGATAAATCATGTGCTGAACTGATTGACTTAAACTGTGTTTACACGACGCCTTCAGTTGACAGGCAGGTTAGCACTTGCCTCAGGTATTTTTATAGTATATTACGTTACTAGTCCTGAAAATAAGTGTTTACCGGACGAGTGTGGTTGTTCCCGTGCGAGACGAAGTCGAGTACGGGATTACCATACGAGTCCGGTACACACATTTTGGACGAGTTACGTACGATAGTTTACGCCATACTACTAAATCTGTACAAATCCATATACATATATATATTTCCACCAACTTAAGGTCTAAAAATCACTAGTCATAACCAGAGGTTATGTTTTTGTTTATAACCACTCATTGCCACCTAAATACAGTATAATCAGCTGATTGGTGTCCGGTAAAACTCATTGCAGTACAGTAGTATGCAATGAAACCCCATTTGAATAAGCTGGTGGCAAACAGCTGTTTTCTGGACTAAATCCTTGCGTGGGAAGTTCGTCAAAATAATGTAGTGTGGCGTAAAATACATTAACTGAGGCAGGTACATACCTAACCTGCCAACTGGCCTCTTGTAAATGCGGCTTATAGAAATATCATCTTACACATGTGCAAATTATACACTTCAAATAAAATGTTTGGTTAATGATGTAACATAAGGGTCTAGTTTTTCACTAAACCTTTCAAGGGCTTCACTAAAACTCCTAAATCCTTTGCTAGAGTTTCAAAAAGCTGATCGCACAATGAGCTGACTAAAATTGGTCTTGATTACAGTTATATCATCGTACAAGGAGCCTGTCCGAGGCTGGATAGACAACGTGTACGGCCCGACAGGTCTAATGGTTGGTCTAGGGACCGGAGTGATACACACCTACTTCGGAGACGAGACGCACGTGACGGACATTGTACCTGTGGATCTGGTCACCAACGCTCTCCTTGCATCTGCCTGGCGAGCTGGGACTAGAATGTAAGTCTCTTCTACTTCTATACTGATTGATAAAGGCTTTCACAGGAAATTAAGATATAGAGGATAAATTCAATGGTACATAGAATTAAGTGGTCTAGCACCATAGTTGCTGGTGTCTAGGACAATTCTATTTGTTGTCCCATCCCGCTCTCCTTTCCCCCTCTTTCTTTAGTAGGTGTAGCCAGGTGTTTTTTATATAGTGTTAGTAGAGCTAGTGAAAGACAGTGTCTAAGGTTCACGACTCCATTCATATCACTTAGGTCTTGTATAATGACATGATGATGATACTAAAAGTAGATGTGCTGTTTTTCTATGCAAATAGAGCAATTGTTGACTTTGAACGGTGCAAGTAAACTTCTCAATCCATCTTACAATGTAGAGCCTGCTTTGATATGTACCATGTTTCTTGATGGTTATGTTTGAGTAAAATGTTAACTGTATGTTTCTTTCTTATTGTGAGCTCTCCAATCACTACCCAACTAAATGGTCCTTGCAAAAATGATTGGATACACTTTTTGTCAGATAATTTTGTTGTATTAGAATAAGTGTTTATTTGCTAGAATGGGAACTCAACTAAGACTTTTTGTTACAGAGAAGGGGACATTCCGATATACAACTACGTCAGTTCTAGCCAAAACCCCATATCCTGGAAAACGTTTCACGTCTTAGCCCACAAGTACGGACCCAACTGGCCGACAGTTCATGCCATCTGGTACTACTTCTTTATGAGCTTTGAGAACCCTTATGCCTTCATGATCGCCAACTTCCTCTTCCACACGTGCTTCGGCTATATCATGGACGGACTGGCAATAATTACGGGTCGTAAACCTATGTGAGTGTAATTTTTCATTCTTTAGTTTGTTAACTCACTGTAGAACTTATTTTCTATATCTTAAAAAGTTTTCTGGTAAAAGGTTATGAAAATTCTGTATATTTGTGTTACTTACAATTTGAAAAAATAACTATTCTTTGAATATGACTTTTTAAATGAGGATAAATTAGCCAGATTTTTGTGAAGCTAGATTTTTCTTTTGTTTTTGATAACCACTATTGTACCAATAGGATTACGGAGGAATAACTCTAAAATATAAGTTTAGTCGGGTTTTAGTGTAGCAAATTTGTTGTTTGTTTTTAAAACCATTCTTTTAGTAGAAGTATTAGGTTGTAAAGGAACCAAAGCCAGCCTTAGGCACTTCACGGTATAAATTGCAGCCCCACATGGCCCCGCACCTCAGACCCTGCACCTCAGAGCCCAGCTTTTGGTGAAAAATCCAAATAAATTGTAAAAAATTAATTATGTCAATTATGAAAAAGGGGGAGTATGAATACTGATATTATTCATGGAGATTTTTGTTAGTCAGTATTTATTTATTTATTTATAAACGGTTGCACCATTTTTACAAGAAAAATACAATTATTGTCTTACAGAAAGAAGAATAGAGGAAAACAAAAATCACATTCCAATTTGATTTAATAATAAATAAAATAATTAATAATAATAATAATAAATAAAATTTAGTATTGTTCTAACACTATTTTTTTTTTTTTTTGTAAGGAGCCCCGCTCTGATTGTTTGCATACTAGGCCTTGCAATACACAAGCTGGCTTTGAAAGTAACTCATTTAGTTTCCTTATTTTATTTAGAGTTAAAAATGTATTAATCTTGACATATTTTTTTCTTTTTTAATAGAGATTTTTAAGCTATTACATGGAATTTTTCAGGCTGACAAAAATATACAGAAAACTGGACAAATTTGCAGACACTATGACATATTTCGCCAACAGAATTTGGACTTTCAAAAATGACAACACCCAAAAACTATGGCGAACTCTCAGTGAAAAGGTGTGCCATTTTTCAATAACAGTTGTAAATGTTTTTGTTAGATTCTAACAACAAAATGAACAGTCTCGAGGATTATTTTGGACACTAAGATATGGTTGTTTAATTAGAAAAACACCAACTGTTACTTTAAAATAATATTGTTGTGTTTAGTAGATTCCTAAAACATTTTACTATTTTTCAACAAAATGTTGATACTGATCAAGTAGCTTTTAGTTTAAAAAAAAAACTATTTTTCATTTGTTAACGGCTTTTTGTTGTGGATTGAAATTTGGTACATAAAATAATAACACAGACTTTAAAAAGAATACTATTTTTTTAAATGATTGTTTTAAAAATGGTGGCAATTTATCTTGTAGGTCTCACATATGAAGAATAACTATTGAGTTCCATGAGATGATTTCGGATTGGAAAGAAGAGATGATATTTATTTAGCAAGTTTTCTTACCCTCTCAACTTGTACGTTCAAATGAAACATTAATAAATGCTTGCTTCACAGGACAAGGAGTTATTTTTCTTTGACATCGGCAAGATGTCGTGGGAGTACCATGCACAAGCTCTGTGTCTAGGACTGCGAGTGTATCTGCTTAAGGATGACATTGACACTCTTCCAAGGGCGAGGAGGAAGTGGAACAGGTAGAAAAAAGATCTTTGGAACTGATTACTTAGTCAAAACTGTTAAATTAAACAGCTGTTACTGTAATGTCGTTGTTCTATTTCTATGATTCGACTATTATTTTTTGTTTACTCTCAGATTTTAAACAGCTTTTGTTACCTCACAGAATGTACATAGCATCAATAGCGATATTCAAAAAATGAAATATCTCCCCACACTTGTGGTTTAAAATGATGGTACTCTGTCGGGATTGCAATTAAGATGCTACATGCCGAATGTCGTTATTGATAAACTGCGTCCCAGTGTTTGGAAAATACTAAATGAGCCAGTGACGTAAGTATGTTAAGCAGACCCCCCCCCCCCCCCCCCCCCACATCCAAGAAATCACCACCTCTGCAGGGCCGCGTTAAGGGTCAGTGGCGCCCTGGGCAAACCCAAAAGCAGCGCCCAGCTTATATATAAACTACAGTATAAAGGTTTTGACCACAGCAGTGTAGGGAGGGGAAGAGGGAAGGGGGTTGACTCATTAGTTCCCCGAAATTCACAGCAGGTGGGTTGGGGGTTGGGGTGAGTGAAATGAACTTGACAGTAGTTGCTATGCGAATGCATCTTTCCCTGCGCCAATAGCTTAATGCACTACGCAGTGATTTGATTATTGTTCAGTACAGTACAGTGTACAGTTCATTGCATTACACACGTATTGAACGAGATTCTACTAAGGGAGTATGTTTTTCTATGGTTCTACTATAGGCCTACGCATATATATATATTTATACATTAGCGTGTTTTTTTGTTTTTTTTTACCAGTTTTGTTTCAGGAGGGAGTTTTAAATTCCGTATCAGTGGAAATACTGGTTAATACATTTCACTTTCTTTAAAACTGCTTCTTGAGTTTTGTTTTATTTCAGCCAATTGCTTGCGGCTCTCGGCTCCACTAGGTTTTTTCACTGTTTATAGGTCTACTTACTTGTATCAACACTTCTATTTATTCATTACTGGTTTTCTAACTGCAGTGTGAGTGTCAACACTGACTAGTGACTGTCATAGTTTAGGTTGTGTTGTGACTGATTTGACGACTGTGCAGCAGGCACTAGGCACAACACGAACACAACCTACTGACTACTTAGGGAGGAGTACAGTGTACAGTACTGTACTGGACTGGCGCCGCGCGGTAGTTGGTAGTTGTAACTTGTGGGGATGGGGGTGGGACTGGGAGTGAGAAGAGGGGCACGTCAACCGTAGGCATGTACAACAGCTGGCCTACGTGCTATTCCCGTAATTTGCTGACGTCACCCAAATTGCAATAAAAACCACCTGATGCTGATGTATTGCCATATAAGTATATATTTGTTTTGATTTGATTGTTATTGTTTTTATAATTTTTCCCAATGGTAAAATGGTGTTTGCAATCTGAGTGACGTCAGCATATGACGGGAATAGCAAACCTATGTATTTCCTTCCAGTATGCAGGCCTCCCTCTCCCTGCCTCTGATAGTATAATGAGTGCGCCCGGTTCACACTGCTGCCTGCCTTTCCCTGACTACACGAGGTATAACCTGAAGGTCGAGTATTTTCAATTTTGTTGTATTTATTTACTTTTGTAACAAGGGAAAATCACTTAATTAAAAGTTGAAATCACCCATTTTATTTTTGAAATCCCGGCTGATAAAACCCTATTTTTCCTAATGCGGGGGGTGGTTCAGAGCGCCCCTCAGGCACCCCCCAACCACCGGCGCCCCTGGGCATATGCCCAGTCTGCCCGTTTATAAAAGTGGGAATGCACATCTGTTCTATTTGTTTATCTCACTGAAGTCAGGAACACTGCATATTTCAGGATTCAGATTTTTGTTTAATAGAATAAACAGCATAATACAGAAGAAACCCTCATATCCGGTCCCCTAAACATACGGTTTTTGGGACCGGGCCATTGTCGGAACGGTCAAAATGTCGGATATCAGGAGGAGCATAACCTGCAGTCTCCACGACATTGGTAATCATCTCCTGCGACCGTGGCAACAGTTGTGAGCATAACGTGCAGTCTCTGCGATATCGGTAATCGTCTCCCGCGATGGCGGCAATACCCAATATCAACAACAGTGGTGATCGTTTGCCACGATTACGGCAATATCCGCAATCGGCCTTTCGGTTAATCAAACACACTCGGCGTTATGGCCCCAGACAGGAAACAAGTAGGGGGTCGGACACTAGGTCCTGACCACACATCCTAAAAAATCTATTTTGATCTCATCAAAGAATTATTTTTAAACATAACAGTGTTTTTGTGTGTTTTGTTTAGTCTGTCCCGTAGTGGCATTACATTTTTTCAGTGCAATAAAGTAAACAACCACTAGCTAACTTGTAATAATCTTTCCAGGTTGTATTGGCTCCATCTAGCTGTGACCACTTTCTTGTCCTTGGTCACGCTCAAACTTGTCGTGACCTTCCTGCGGTATCTCCCACTGTGACCAGCTACGTGACATCACGTATTCAACTCTCTGTGATCCGAGATGGAACAGCGTCAAGACAATTTATTTTGTTTCATCTAAGGAAAAGTCATAGACCATTGTATTATTGAAATTCCCTGTCAAAATATTTTATTTAAGTTTCAATGTTACCGTAGTGTTTAGTTAAGATGTGTAATGTACATGAGTAAGTAAAACCGTAATCTAAAATTTTACATTGTGTGGACACTGAGAAGAAAAGTGAACTTTAGCCAAACAGCAAATTTTTGCGATAAAATATACATTTTCACTAATAAGCTACCCTTAACCATGTATTATTAACTCTACATACAAAACTATAGTTGGAAATTGCTCACAAGCTATTGCTTAAAGAAAGTGTCTTGCCACTGTATTATTTTCTTAGTATATTTACTTAGGACCACTCTAGATTTTAGTCCTCATTCTATTTACATTTACACTTGTGAATTAACTACTTTGAAAAATAAAGTTTTATTACAAGATCAATATTTAAATTATTACAAAACCCTAAACTAAAATAATATGAAGTACATTACGAGTAAAATGCACGACGAACCAAAGGATTAAAATTAATTATTTGCAGTGTGAGATTATGTGCCATAAAAAAACTATTTAACAAGAGTATGTTCTTAAAAGCATATTATCATTACCATTACTAATGGAGTCAGCGATCTGAAGGTATAGTCTATTTTATAAGTGCATTTTCCACAGTAGTTTTTCTTTCCCGGACTGTACCCTTAGTTCTAATTAAACTAGATGAATTTCCCTCCGAGACATATGTAACAAGTTGTATTAATTTGGGTATGTTGTTGGTTTTGATTTTTTTATTCATATAACCTCAATCAATCCGTTTTAGCAGTAAAAATGTATACAAACGCAAAACAAATTTAATTGATTATTTAACCTCTTTGATCACTTTTCTTAAGACAAATAGAGTAGTTTTGTTTCAATGAAAGCAAGTGAAATTACACCTGACGCTCTCTCTTATCAACAGTTCCGCTATAACCACCAATGGATTTTATCTAGGCCTATGTGATAGTGGCAAACCCTCTCTAGCCCGAAGTAATGTGTAAAACAGTTTTGACTAGAACTAGCGTCCTAGGATGTGAAGGTCTAGGTTTTTTTTTCATTCAAACCACAGGAACATGGGGAATGTTTAATAAAACAGTAATGAAAAGTAGTTGTTTTAATAAAATTTTCAGACCATTTATTGTTGATTATTTTACCAAACAAAATTACAGGTTCACAACTAACAACAAACATAAATAAATCTTAAAAGTTTATCTTAAACATAATAATATAGAAAATCCAAATGAAATATAAATTACAGGCTAGTAAAAAACATAAAATCAAACAAGTTTATATACTGAGTTACAAATCAGATAATCATGTTAATCAGTAATAATTTGAGAGAAACTTTAAAGAGGCAAGTCACTCAATTCAACTTAACCATTTTGGTAGTTAATAATAACATAGACAAAAAGAATTAAATATAGACTGTCAGCCGTGCTGCGGTTACCATGGTTACCATAGGTTCCGGCGCACACCGCTACAGTTTACGTAGCGCGTATGCCGTAAATACATGGCGTTCCAAGCGGTGTGCGCCAGAAGCTATGGTAACCGCAGAACAGCTGACGGTCTATATTTAATTCTTTTTGTCTATGATAATAATGAAAGTCGGTCTTTAATTTCTCTAAGAGCTCTTGTGACAAATTCTAATGTTTGGGAAGCAATACTGTTGTATTCAAAATTGTTTACAAAGTAAGGTAAGATGTTGTATTAAGTAAAAGTAACTGGAAAATGGGGTATAGTGGGTGTTCACGAATGTATAATAAAGAGTTAGGTTACTTTTCTGTATGAAAACTTACATCAGTTTCAGTTAATCAACTTATTGTGTAAGACAAAAAGATATTTTCCAATAAATGTACACAAAATTAAGCTTTAAAATGCGTAATAGTAAACACTTTTTATCATTTTTGTTTCGTTACTTTAAAAAAGATTACATAGTAAAAATTAACTAAATAAACTCTAAGCCAATAACTATTAGCCCGTTTAGTGTTTATAAGAGTTCAATTTAATTTTAATTTTACAAGACTTAAAATTAGAACAAAAAATCTATTTAAAACTCTGTTGGTGTGAATGTATTTTAACAAACAAGTTTTTAAATGAGTATAACTTTAGTTTTATTTCATGTCTAGATAATTTAAAAAAGTCTATCACAACTTAAAACAACACTAAAACATAAAGCCTACTACAACACATTAACATATGAGCAAATTGCTTTAAAATCTGTGAAGGAAAGGAAATGCTAAATAGTACAACCAGAGATTAGTTTTCTCCGAACAATTAGTTTGAACATAGGAGAACAAATAGGCATAATGTGAAAGGTACTTAAAAAGTGAAGGTAAAGTAAATAAATTCATACCTTATCAAACATTGAATATAACTTAAATTGAATGATAAAACTGTCAACAACACTCCTCTTCATACAGTTTTTTAGTTATATATATATATATATATTTTATAAATATAAATATTTTATATATATATACTCCTAATGATCTATAGTCATTTACAGCTACCGGTACATTGGTTGTATCATAACTTATACATATAAAATCATATATTGAATCAATGTTTAAAATTACTGTTGGATTGCTACTATTTGCAATCAAAATGAAAAGCCGCCTACATACAGTACAACTTATCAGTATAAATCTAAAGGTTGTAGAACACTACACTTGGCAAAACTCGCGGAAGCCAAGCACGGTGTAGTGAAAGCTTTTCCTTTATCTTCATTTGAGCATTTGGCAAAACTATAGTGGAAGTTTGGGCCTAAAGAAACTGGGCTGAGATAACACAAGAGTAGTCGAAAACATAAAAAGAGGTCCCGAAAATACTTGAAGAGCACTGTTGTCTGCCTGTCACCGTTTTTGCTTCTACATCCCTGCACACACCTAACGTGACGTAGGTGCGGTGCACCACAACGGAAAACTTCTACTCCGATTTCCCCTGGCTATAGCTTACTCAATCAGTAATTTCACTGTATCATTCCTTATCTTTGTTATCATTAGATCATATTTCATATCATTTTAAATCACAAACACCCAATTAATATCATATTTAAAAAAAAAAAATATATTCTAAGCAGCGACAAAAGATGCAAATCAAATTGAAAATATAATAAAATCAGCCAGTAACATAAGCCAAGACATGAATTTTACCATAAACAAAACTAAAACTGTGCACATTGAATTCAAAGTTAAAAACAGAACTACCGGTCATGAAGAAGTCGCTAGCCCACAAACCGAAAACAGCAACCCATACAAAATTCCTGGGAGTAACCCTTTATGCAAATTTAAACTGGCAAAAGCACCAAAACTATCATCAGCAATGTTTGCAATCAGAAGAATCAGAGAAATTACAAATACATCAATAGCAATAACAGTCTAACTCTTCTAAAAAATTATGCACTCTTCTCATCTCATCTCAAATATGGACTTATAGCCTGGGGAGGAGCAGACAAAACTCACCTAAAAAAATCATCACACTCCAGAAAAAGCTTTCTGAATCATCGCAATGTATTTATTACCTTATGTAAGACCTTAAGGGTCGAAAATGAAGAACATTGCAAGCCACTATTTATCCTATATAAGATCCTTACTCTAACCTCCCAATACATCCTTGACACAATCATCGCCATCAAATCAGATCCTCCACAAAACAGACAAGAATGCCATCAATACAATATAAGGTCAGGGGCAAATCTCAACCAAAACCAACACAGACTACACAGAACAAGTAAAACCCCTACATACATGGGAACAACAGTCTATAACTCTCTTCCTCAAAACATATAATCAATAAACGAAAAAAAAAATCAACACTAGCCTTATAAAATAACTCTTAAACAGCCCATACTACAATTTAAAAGAATTTCACCTATACCACAACTTGGTAAAAAAACAAACACACAAAAAAAAACAAACACACGCACACACAAATAATATAACCCACACACATATACACAAAAACTCTCCTAGGGAACAATTGTCAACTCTCTGGTTTCCACGACTGTGAAGAGGAGCGCCGATGTAAGATGTAAAATGTAAGATGTATTTCAACTCATTGTCAGTGATGAAACTGGTAATCATAGGTCGAGAAAAGTAGAAGGAGTTTCCTGTGGCATTATTTTGATCCATCTTGAATTTCATAGAAGATAAAAATTCTTTGTCTTCTGATCGGAACCAAATCCTTACATAAACGTCACAAGTCGGTTTACCCACAAATACTGGATGAAAGCTGAACCGATACTCGTCATCTGCAAAGTCACCAGTAAATTTAGGAAACATGATTCTCAATACAACAAATTTGAAGCATTAAACTCTTTTAACAGAAAATCCAGCATATAAATTAAAAAATTGAATTGTTACAGATTGATTTGGAAGTAACCTTTTGTATTGTAATTTAAGTATGAGCATGTCATGAAAATAATGGAAAAAGTATGTGAACATTGACAACTTATAAACACACATTTCCATTCTATTGTTATCTATTATATTATTAAAGTGATACAATCAAATTTTATGTAAACGGTTAAGGCCATTTACCAAATAAAAATATAGGCATGTGGCATAACAAAATGAAGCTTAGAGTGTGTAGATTTGCCGAAAAGTATTGATATGGCCGAACTCCCTAAGGGCTCTGCCCCACAGGCTGATTTCCAAAGGGCTACGCCTTGCGTGTTTTGGAAGTTAACGTTATTCAATTAATTTATTGAACAACAGCTGGCCAATGCAATTGAAAATATAGTTTGTTTGTTTACATTTTTGTTTACTTATTTTATTATTTACCATTATGTTCTTAAAAGAGGTGAGGTGAATTGACAGTGAAGCTATTTCTAGCTGTTTGATACAAGTGAGTGATTAAAGGGTTTCGAAACACGATGAATATGAGATTAACAAACCATGTATATCGTTCGTTCCAAGAGGTTGTCACCGATCTTTAACAGGTCACCATTTCATTGAAAAGTATTCAAGTAAAGTATTAAAGACGTCGTGAAAGAGAGCGGAGTGTTCAGTTACAACCGTACCCACCTCGGCCACCTTAGGACGTAAGGTATGAAGCATTGACTTTATATCTACACAGTGTGGATATGAAGTCAATGGTACGAAGGTTCCACTGCTTTTAACATCCTTTCAGATGACAATTTCTCGAACTTGGGCCCTTTAAATTAAATATAAAGTCGATTAAATTAATTTAATAGTTGCTTATGCACACCCGTGAATTCGCGGGTATAACCTCTTGTATATTTTATTTCTGTACTTCCTATAGTTAATCCATATGTTAATTGTTTACATTTTTCATATAATTAATATTTACTTTTCGGTTATGTATAAATATTTATGCAAGTTACAAGTTCTTTGTCTATGCAATGATTTTTTTTATTGTTTAAGTAAGGAAACAAAATACCCCTGCCACAGCAA